TTATTAGGGGACACTGCTGTGCATATGCATGGTACACCCTGGAGGATGTGAAATTTCATCATAGTTTAAATGTCTAAACCACATATAACTTTGTTTTGATCTTTAAAGGCTGAATGAAGAACAATGGAGTTACTGTATTGTCTACCAACTTATCAATGGTGGTCTCTTCACTTCATATTGTCAACTTCTATATCTTCTCCACTTTTTAAATATATTGCCAAGTTTCAGATTTTTAAAAGATAATCTCAAATGGAATTTAAAGGATTCTATCCCCCCCATACTTCCCATAAATTACTCATATAAATTTTAGGTTTACACCTAACAGTTCATTTTGGGGGGTTAACACTGAAGAACCAGGAAGAAATATCTGAGATTGAAATTTCAAAGCCAGATCTTCATTGGTTAAACCTTTTCCAACTCAATTGTCATTGTCTCCCAGGACAGAACAAAAAAGCATTGAGAATGTGCTGAGTTGGTTGGAAAAAGCTGTCATGGGGTCATTTATCTCCTGTGTTTGGCAAGCAGGTGGCTCCGATGCTAATTGGAGCCTGGTTCCTTATTTGCACAGAGCTGTTTGATTTGTGATATGGGTGGAGGGGAGAAAGAGACAACACACATGCACTGGAAGCAAGTGGGGCTGATTTTTTTTCAGACAGATGAACTTAACAGAGTTTAACATCAGTGGCAAAGAATTAGTAGATTCTAAGACAAGCAATCCAAACCAATCGCCGATGGAGGCATCTGCCATGGGATTAAAGCTAACACAGGAAAGCGATGAAAATATTTAGGGAACCTTGCACACCCATCAGTGATTTACCTCGTGAAGCTGCTTACCTGCCTCTCTGTTGTGGTAATGAAAATAGTTGGCTCACATGACTTTCTTCCCATGATCCTTTGTCACAGGTCCTAGTGCCACCAATCTCATAATAGGCTCCATCGCTGGTGCCATCCTGGTAGCAGCTATTGTCCTTGGGGGCACAGGCTGGGGATTTAAGTAAGCAATGCCGCATGTCTTTTCTCTGTGGCTCGGGCACCTCTCTTTCTGCTTACATAACCTGGTTTTGAGTTCCTGCTACGAGACTTTGGTGTTAACAACACAACCACAAAAAAAAAAAAAAAAAAAATGTGCTTTTACTCAGAAGTGGGTTAGAAACAAAGGACATGGAGCTTCAAATACCATCTTCAGGCAGACAGGGAAGCATGGACAATGGAAGGAATTCACTTGAATTTGAAGCCAGAACACTTTAGTATTAAAAGACATTCTCGCTTACAGCAGCAAGTCTCCTAGGGTGCTTCCATGTACACTTAGGTGACCAAGGAGATGAATTGGACATAAATACACATAAATTCCTAATTGTTTCTGCAACACTGATTTATAGCCCCTAGGGGTTCCCCATGACCTCAGTCATCATGTAATCATTGTTTTCTACATGTAACTTTGTGATTTGAAAAACCTTTTTATTTACTTACAAATATTTAAAAAATACTTTTATTATTTCTCTAACCAACTAAATTTGGAAGCAATGGCTTTGTAGCATTTACTGTAACACTCATATAGCTGAGTGGCTGGCTATGCTTTCATAGTGACTTTTAATTTGGATTGCATATTGATAACCAAGATTGCTAAAGTAGACCATACTGGATAATCACAGATAGAGACCCTATTGTGTTTAATATTTTTAAACAGATTTATGATTTATCTAGTTTGGATATTTTGTATCTCAGATTCATTAGAGAATCACTTTCATACATTTTGAGCTATGGTGACTTGATTTTTATTATTTGTAGGTAAGTCTTCCTCTGCCAGATAAGTCTCTTTATTGGTGGCGCACACCTTTAATCCCAGCACTCGGGAGGCAGAGGCAGGTGGATCTCTATGAGTTTGAGGCCAGTGTGGTCTCCAGAACAAGTGCTAGGATAGGCTCTAAAGCTATACAGAGAAACTCTGTCTCGAAAAAAAAAAGCCTCTTTCATAAATTAAATTTCATCTGTATCTTTTGGGATGAATTTAAGTGGGAAATGAAACCTCTGTCAAACCAAAGCCTTCCCACTTTGCTTCCATTCAGCCACTCAACGGAGGAAGTTTTGCTTAGAATAAACATGGAGTGGCCTTCATTAAACCAGCTAACATGTTATTGTTAGAAGCTGATTATGAAAGAAAAGATAACAAGATGTGATCTAAATAAATCTACTTTTTCTGCTAATTTGTTACGATATTATGATTTAGTGAGTATGCCCTTAGTATTTGTGAGGCTTCTACTTGGAAATGTGTATCCAATGGTGCTTGTTTTTCTACACAGATGTCTATAAAGTTGGACTTATACTTAGTGAATTAGCAATTTTGGCATCAGCATGCTTGCAGAAACACACAAACTGAATAGACACCTGATATTTGGATTTCTCCTCATTTGAAGGATCACATAAGGGACATCTCAGAAGTGGTATGTTTTTGTTTGGATTTTCCTCATTGCAGAGGAAAACTTTTCTTAGTGCCCCACTACTGTGAAAAAGTCATTATGCATTATAGAAATTGTGTATTATAATTTCTATTATAATGCTTTCTTTATAAAAAATTACATGTGCCTCCAGAAAAAGAAATTTGGCTCATTCTGTGGCACATACCTCCTTAGCATTAAGAAACATTCATTTTAAAGGTCCAAGAAACTGTCTCCTGTGCGTCATTGCCATGCAACGCTGTGCGATGCCAGATGTACTGTTTCTTTGTCCACGACCAGAGCACATTGTTCTGTAGCAGGACCTCAAAACAGCAGCCTGGCTAGCTCTCAGCTTGAACTGCATGTTCTGGGGGAGAAAGAAGCCTTTTTGACTGTGCTGATTAGTGGGTTAGGCTCTGTACAGATGATTCCCATCTAAGAAAGGAAGATATCCAGTTATCAGAAGAGCAATGCACAAGGTGAGGGGTTGGTTGATGCAGTCAACCAAGCAAGGTTCAAACCCGGCTCCCCTCCCTTTGCCTGGGGACTGTTATACAGGGACACTTCCCAATGACTCAGTTAAAGCCTCTTCTTATTTCCAGCTACTGTAATGCTCACCTTCTGGTAAAGTGTAAACAGGCACAACCCTGCACAATAGCCTGCTGTAAATACTTTCATGCCTCGAGGACAACAGGCCAAGAATGTCTCTTAAATATTTAACTTCTCCTTTGTTTAACTTCTGGAGCTGGAATTTGGAGATGCTCTTGTACTCTGTGCTGGAGCCATGAGGTTTGCTTTGGATCTTAATGGTGGCTGATGGTTTGTGTGAAGCTGTCAACTGTTACTTGTACCTCACAATGAAAGGCTGTCCATGCTTAGTAACAGTGCTCAAGTTTTCCCACCACTTGGGTGGTTTTTGAAGATGATTAGGGATAATTTGGAATACTGAATTGGAAGCCTTTCAGAGTGTCACTGAGTTCAGTGTAAATAAACCAGTTTCCTTTAGAAGCAGAAATTGGAAATAACTGTAAAGACGATTGTTCTAGATAGCGCTGTTGGGAATCCTTCCCGAAATGGGGACATTATTTCCAGAAGAGGAGCAAGCAAAGTCACCTGAAGCCTTTGAAGGTGTGTAAACTTTGAGATGAAAAGAACAGGTGCAATTGATTGGGAGATAGCACTTTTTTGTAGCATCACATTCCTTTAGATGTGACTTGCTGAGTAATTTAGGCGTGGAAGAGTGTCACAACCATTCTTTACCTGCACAGGCATACAGAGAGAAGCAAAACACACAGCTATGCTGTCCCCTGCTGTTTTACTGATTCTTTCCTTACAGTACGCACTTCTGGATTAGGTGTTGAAAGATATGGGAGGATTTGGATATGTGTGAGTGGGTATACTTTATGTATATATGGTCATGCAAATTTATCAGAATTATTGTGATCTGAAATTAATACAGATTTAGGTTGCTTCTTTTTGGTAAGATAGGAGAGTTTGAAACATTTGGTTAATGTACACAATCCACATGCAAAGTTGTAGAATTCCCCAAAAAGAAAAAAAAAGTACTTTTTTTTAGAATTCTTGTTATTGAGTTCATGCATTCAGATATACTGAGTTATGTAAAATGGGCATGTAGGGATGTTGGTTAAATCCACGCTCCACGTTCTAGAGGTCTTGAGGCTGCTAAGGCATGATTGCATGAGTAAGTTTCCAGGTGTTGAGAATCTTGTGGTTAATTCTAAGGTATTTGTGGAAAATAGGCCATTTGTGAATATCGGCCATGGCACACCAACCTGTCCCCCTTTTCCTGCATATGCATTTATTGTTCTTGGCCCATGCTTCTCCTCTTCACATACAGAATGAAGCTGTGAGCTGTGATGAGAATCACTAAGCTCTGTCATGGTTGTTCCATGGGCCCCTGATTCCTAATTATTGCTGAATAATAGTGATACTCCGTTAAACTACTAGAATGACTGGTTTTTACTGGATATTGGAGCAAATGAGATAGATAACAGATTACCACCTTCCCCAAAGCTTAGGGAAAATGGAATGTAGATTTTACATATGCATTGAAAAATTATCAGGGTTGTTATTATTGCCTTAAAAGTATTTATGCAACAGCCCTGTCTTAGGGTTACAACTGCTTGGATAAAACCCCATGACTAAAACCAACTTGGGGAGGAAATGGTTTGTCTTACACTTCTGTATTACAGTCCATCATTGAAGGAAGCCAGAATAGGAACTCAAACAGGGCAGGAACCTGGAGGCAGGAGCTAATACAGAGACCATGGAGGAGTTCTGTTTACTGCCTTGCTCCTCATGGCTTATTCAGCCTGCTTTGTTATAGAATCTAGAACTACAAGCCCAGGGGATGCTCCACCTACAATGGTGCATGAAGCATTAATTAAGATTGCCTACAGCCTGATCTTATGGCAGCATTTTCCCAATTAAGGCTCCCTCCTTTCTGATACTTTGGCTTATGTCAAGTTGACATAAAACTAGCCAGTACAACTCCCTAAATTTGAATACAAGAATTTAGGTGTGAGCTCTTATGCACTATATTTATCAATATTACAAGTGATAGCAATGGGGAAAAATAAGTTCTTGGTGGGGCATGAAAAGGACATGAAGGTGACAGTGACATATTTTGCTGGAATTGATTCCAGAGTGAGTGTGGGCCCTTCAACCATGTTACAATGTCTTCATCTTTGGAATTCTGTCAATGCCCCACTATCCTACCTGATCTCCATAGGTTGCAGTGGCAAAGTGGGTTTCCACCATTGCCAGCAGAGATTGTATTAACCTCTAAGGGCAGTCCCTGATGAGCTGCTCCTTTAACAAGTCTGTAGTTATCACAGGTGGGGCTGTCCCTGAGAAAGCATTTGCATTAGAACCCTCTCTTAGCTCTAACCCATTTGTTGTTAGCCTGGGCTAAATTCTGTTCCATTTCTTCTCCAAATAAAAGATGTTCACAGTTGGTCCTCCTCTAAAATGGCAGTTGAAGGGCTATAGCCAGAAACATAACTGAATCTTGATGGGGAGGGGAAGTATTTTAATTTTCTTAAAGTTAGGATGTGGAATAAATTTGAATCAGTTTCTCTATGATCATTGTAACTAAATTGTTGTTTTCCCTTCAAATTCTATGTCATTTTCCAGTGCAGAATATAGAGCCACATACCCTTATTGTCCAAGACTCTTGGGTTAGGCACTTTATTCTTCATATATCATCATGATGTCAGGTCAACCAGGAACACATGTGTTTCCTTGACTCAAACCCCTAAGGATATAAGCTCAATCTAAGGTAGCCTAGAGGTTAGGTGTGTGTGTGTGTGTGTGTGGGAGGTCTTTGGTGATGGGCATGGGGGCTAAGATAAAGAATGTGACAATAGGTGGCTAGAGATAGCTCAGCAGTTAAAAGCAAGTGGTGTTCTTGCAAAGGACTGGGGTTTGTTTCCCAGCACCCACATGGTTGCTTGCAACAGTCTAAAACTCCAGTTCCAACAGATTTGGTGCTCTCTTCCTGGATCCCAGGACACTGAGCATGAATGAATGCACCTATGTACTTGCAGGCATAACATTTATACACATGATTCTTTTAAAAGTGATAATAGTAGCTAACTCTGGTCAGAAGACCCATGGTAGCTATTGTTACCTAGAGATGTTTAATGTTGTATATGTATATGCATATAATTACAAGCATTATAGGTAAAAGCTTAAATTTCCTACAAGTACAAAAACCTTGATAAAAATGGTATCATTGTAAGACCTACGGATTGCATTGATGTTTTACAATGGTCCAGAAATACCTTTCTGGTTATGATAACAAAGTTGCTTCAAAATCCAGTGAGCAGAGGGCATTCAGACAAAATGGTTTGGGAGGGGAGCCAGCAAGGACGTGTCTATTATAGTTCTCACTTTCACATTAGAACTGAAGAAAAACAGCCTTACATTCATATAGAAAATTCAGGACAGGCAGTATTCAATGTATGGTGGCCCACAGTAGATGGCTTACCTATGTGGGGAACCTCACAGAGGGCTTGCTGTGTTATCTTCTCTGCTCATCTCTAGTTTCCCTCTCCCCTGCACTTCAGCTTGCTTTCTTCACTGCTAGGACTTCAGTGGAAGAGAAAATGGCCTCCAGTCTGCTGTCAGTACTGTTCAGTGAAAACATAGGGTTCCATAGGGTACCGACTTCTTAGTCTGATCAAAGAACCTAGTAACCCTTTACAATGTCGTTCTATTGGAAGAGTGCAATCTAAGCTTCAAACCCTGAAGTTTAAGAGGAGTATACACTTTTGGACACTGGAGTTTCTTGAGTACCAGGCTGAAGGAGAATTTCAGTTCTCTCTTTAAAAACACGCCACCTGGTGGTCCTGACCTTGGGATTCTCTACATTTGAATGAAAGAATTTAGAGATGGGTAGTGTGGTCACGTCCTGCTCAGTGCTAGTCGTATATGCTCTGCCCTCAGTGTTTACATTTAGTTGAGCTAGTTTCTCCTGAGTTCCAGTAACACACAGCTGGCTTGGGTAGGGTCCCTGGTCCTCTGGAGTGATTTCTCAAGGATAGGCAGTTGATGAAGCCATTAGTGTGTCTCTTCCCAAAGTCTTTAGTAGGAGATACCTCTCTTAAATATCTTCTCAGAAAGCATGGGCGTTGATGGCAGATGCAGGTACTGAGCCCCACAGCAAGTTCATTTGGTGACAGACACATTGTGGAGATGTCCTGTGTGTTCTTACCTATGTTTCCCCTACAGTCAGCAATGCCTGCTCTCAAGATTGTTGGCTTCACAGAGGACTGGGTGGTAAGAAGTCAGTAGCTCTAATGCAAAGAGTATTTGTTGCAACAGATTAAGTTGTTCAGCCAAAGTACCACATGTCTAAGCTTTCATGAACATGTTTCAATGGCAGTTTAAGAAAACAGAAAAGGGAGAATTTTTTTTCTGAAGATAGCAAATATTTGATATTTCAAAAAGGAAGCATCAAAGTGGGCCTTCTGGGAAAGATAGGAACTTTGCAGGACACTTTTCTACCTGTTTTAAGCTTTGGTAGTATTTCTGGTTTGAAGGACACGTGGGTGAGGAGGAATCTGTTGTAATATTTTGGTGTTTAGGGCCTGGGAAGGCATCCAGTTGGCCCTGAGTAAGTGGGCAGGGGAATGAGGGAGCAGAGGGCTCCCCAGCCTCCAGTTTTGCATGATGCCTTGGTGGCAGCAGTGTGAGCCCACCAGTATGCAGACTAATGCATGAGCCCCTTGCTTGATGCCCCACATAAAGCCAGACCATGGGGAGGTTATGCCAACTCATGTTGTTGCCTTGTTGTGTCTTGCTGGTTTTTTTTCTCTCTCTCCAAGCACAGAAGCCACTTTTTAGGAGACTGGACATTGTGAGCAAGGCATTCGAACTTGCTTCTCTCAACAGAGCTAAACTGCTACCTTTGCTTGGCTAACCCGGGCCTGTGTCCATTCTCCTGAGTGTACTGCCCCCCTGTGCATTCTGCCAACTTTCCACCATGAAAAGTGCTTGTTCCATAGTGGAATATAACCTCACACACCCAAGGCAGAACTAATCAGGCACAACAAGGCTTTTTTGTCACCTTGGTGAGAACCGCCTGTTGCTACAGAACTCTGGAGGCTTGGAGGAAACAACTACAAGACCTTCAGAGTTTCTCTTAGTTCACTTGGGAGGAGAAACTGAAGGGGCTATTCTGTAGTACTCCTCATCTAATGAACTAGTAACAATGTTTACTTCTAAATTTAGGCCAATTTGTGATTGAGAATGAACAACTTGAAGTTTCTCTTGGTCTCGTGGGGGAAGTGTGAAGACAATCCAAAACATTAGTTCTTCTGTGTTTCGGGTTACTTTGGAGACTGCCTCTGTGTGAGATGGTTACTCCGCTCTGGAATTAGCATCATTGTTGTTGTCCTCATTTATCTTTCACCATCATCTGATTAATATTGTGGCTTTTCTTTTCCTCCCCCCTGCATCTTCTTTTAATGTACTCTGGAAGAAACGTCAAGAAGAGGAGGTTCGATCCAACACAGCAAGGCCCCATCTGAATCAGCCGCACTGCAGGCATGCCACCTTGTACTGTTGGGTTCTGGGTATGACATGTTTCAACCATGCTGCCAGAACTCTTAAGTCTATAAACAAGACCACTGGGTGGTAATGACCATGGAGCTCAAATGTGGGAATGGGGATGGGGTACAAGACAACTGCCCCTTTGAAAATAACTTCAAGTAAACCCTCCTATCACCTGTCAACAAAGGGGAGGGAGTTAAGGACCATGTCATTAAAAAACAAAACTGTTCAGAATCCTTTATTTTTTCTTTTTAACAAAAGGAGAAAGGAACAGCAGCAAAGTGCAATAAAAGAACACATAGCAAATGATTTCCCCCTTAGCCTGCTGACACTTAATATCTTCTAAGTGATTTGGCATGATTTTTTCCCCTTTACTATCAAAGACAAACTCCAGTGGCATGAAGATCCAATTTTGGAAAGGGTAAAAACTGCATGGCCTATATAACACCAAGCTAGCAAGCCGATCTTCAGCAAAACTTACAGTGGAATCCTAAGGGGAAGATGACAGATGAACACACGGAAGCTGCCTGGGCCTGGATAATGCCTCCCTGCTCCATCCACTCCATCATATTGTATAGTTCTTTTATAAATGTAAATATGGAAATAAGAGATTTTGACATGCCATTTTCACTTGTCTGTACTGAAATGTTTTCCTTGCAAAGATCTTCTCTACATGTTTGTTGCTTAATCCACGTCCTCCTTTTCCTTCTTTTATCTCGTTTTTTCCTTCTTTTTCTCTGTCCTCTCTTATAACATGTCCAGTGATTGTTGGACTTGCTTAACAAGGTAGATGTAGCCCCAGATGCAGGAAGTTTGGGTACAAAACAAAGCTAGTATGCTTGAAACAAAAAATAAAAAGTGGGAGGACATAAAACAACCCATATCAAGAACACAAAAGTTATGTAAATGTGAGTAGATATGTACTGACGAGTCTAAAATTTTTGGTGTCATCCTAAGCACATGTATATAATGTAAGAAAATGGAGACCCTTCTCGAATTAATCACAAAAGTGCCAAGCTCATAATTTTAGTTTTTGGTTTAGCCAGTTCTCTTTCCCTATCTTAAATGTGAAAGGAGGAGAAACTTAAAGCCTTAAATAAAAATTAGTAATTTTTAAATGTTGAAAGCTTGGAGAAAAGTTAAGCTTTCCATTCTGTTCCTTTGTATTTTTGTCAACTTTCATTTATGCTTCATCTTTCTGCCTCAGAATCTGTGTGACAGAATGCCAGTGTGGTGGGGCAGATAGCAGGTAACCTTCTGTTCATTTCGGCCTGTCATTTGGCATGGTGATTTCCAGAGCTCGCTTGCCCCTCGGTGTTTTTCTGGCCCATGGACTTTGGTGGACTGTGATGGGATTCCACTACATTGGAGCCCACTCTCTTCTTTTTCCTCCAGTAGCTGGGGAGAGAGATTCTTGGCCTTCCCAAGACTCTCTGAGTTTCCCTCATCTTCACCCATCCCTTCTTTAATGTATTGCTAGGATAGCTTCCATTAAAGTGTTAGGGGAACAAGTTACTGAAGAAATTCCCGACTAGCTTTGTTTTAGATGTTTGGGCTTGTACACGGTGGCTTCATCTAGAATCAGACCCCTAAGAGGCCCTACTTTTCACTGTCCCTCTTTCAGGAAGAAGACATCCAGTTCAACTATGCATTTCTTCCTGGTATTGGGTTACTTTCTACATTTGGCTCTAAACCCTTTCCAGTAAGACTCATGCAGTAAGTTTTACAACATTTTTCTTGACTAGTAGGGAGGATTTCCTGAAAATGGACTGCTTAAAACTGGAGTTTCCCCTCCCCCCAAGATATCTTTAGTTACTGAAGTTTCACACGCATAGAGCAGACATCTTGATTGCTATATACTACCCCAGACCATAACCTAACATCTTAATCCCTCGGATGGCTTTCTGAGAAACAGGTGCTATGCAGGTATGCAGTCTTTTGCTTGAACTTGCTGTTTGCTTATATAGTGATAACAGGGCTATCTATAAGGTTTATTGGCCTTATTCCTGGTTTTATAAGACACAGGTTGTACCCTTTTACTGAATGGCAGTGGCTTAGCTTGGAGGAAGTTTGGAGGAAACTCAGATGACTTGGTATCTCTCCCTGTTGTTGCATTGCTTAGGGGTCCACTTCACTATGAGATACCAAGCAGCTGCCAACCACACCGTACTCATTTCCCTACTATTTTCAAGGCACCGTGGTGACTTTATTCAACCCAAAACCATGCCAGTTACAAAATAGATCTCTATTGTTAACTTTTGAGCATTTCACAAACAACATTGTAAATGTGCGATGTTATGTTTTAAATCAGACCACAGTGGTCCCCAAATATTATGTACATACGACAAATGTCAGTGTAACTTTTTGTTACACTGTCAGTTTCATAGGTAACCAAACCTATGCTCCAATGTTAAATTATCTGTGTGTATGTGTAAAATGCAGAAGCTTTAAACTATGCGTGTATGGACATGAAGGGTAGTGCAATCATACTGTACACAATGGGTTCGAATCATTTTCAGTGGCATTAGGTTATGTGGTTTCAGCCTCTTTGCTTCATTTTTTCTTGCACATGCCATTCATTTGCTTATTTTGTGATGTGAATACTTTTTCTTATTAATTTGAATTCAAAGCACAAGCCCACCATTGTTTAATATTACCCAACAAGAGTGTTAAGTGATGACCAAGTTCCCGTTTCACTTGCTATCCTTTTGCTGCGATAATTAATGACGCTTGGATGGGGAGGTGTGCGCTAACTTTGTTGCTCACCTGGGGTAGTGCATGAGCCCTCTGAATTAGAGCTACTCCTCCCAGCTAAGTGAGCAGTACACATAGGTGCATGATTGAAACATGAATCACATTAGAGCTGTGGCGTTTTTGCCAAGTGATGTGCTTTCTTTTGTTTTTCCTATACAAAGACAGGAAATGCACAAAACGTTTCGAAGATATTTCAGAAGAACTTTACAACAATACTTGAATTCTTTCTTTAATCATCCCATCCCATTTTAAAGTCGTTGATGATGCTTCCATTGTTAATTTTATTTTTCCCCTTCAACTTTAATGGTTTATAAAACGTACAACCTGAACTTTTGTTTGATAAATTCCAATCCTGTTGGCTGCCTGTGAATGGAGAGTCCGTCATCCTTATATGCATCTTTTAGTTGAGTGTGCATTAAAACTTTTATTAATGTAGGATGTTGTAGCTTTGTGCATTGATTGGTTTTTCTTAACTCTTGTTTCTGTGTGTTCTTGCATCATTGGTTAAATGGCCACGTGTCTACTATTATCTGGGATTCAGCAGTCTCAATTAAAGGCTCACTAAAAATCAAAGCAGTCAATGGAGCAAAATAAAATCTCTGGTTATCAGTAAACATGTTCTGGATTAGGACTCAGGGTTGTTTGTTTGTTTTTGTTTTTGTTTTTGTTATTTTTTTTGAGTCACTGGAAACCCTTTTCCTTACATGAATCAGAAAGCAAAAAGAACACAATGAGAACCGTAACACGGTTGATTTTATTTTGTGTTTTAGTGTCTGTCACCTGAGTTTAAAGGGTCAAAGGCTAGCAGTAACATCCACACTTTGGCTTGGTACCAAATTAACAATGAAGGTGTGTGAGTATATGCATATGTGCACAAACAGTACATTTGCATTCATGCTCGTACGTGCCCTGGCAAGTGCACACACAGTCACGGGGAGAGAAAGGAGGAGGTAGAGAGAGAGGAGATAAAAGGAGAGGGGGGAGGAGGAGGAAACAACATGATCTGGTTATGTACATTATATCATGAAAAACATTTAAAATAAGGAGCCCTGCAGCTCATATAAAATTAGCCACCCATTTACATCCTCTCTGGTGAACATCTTCAATATCTCTTCCCTGTACCCAGCTGGTATGCTGACTACACTCCTTTCATCATGAAAGTCTTGCAGCTTTCTTCATTTCCTACAGGATACTTTACAGACTCAATAATGAGACTGTATGTTTCTGATCTCATGACCTCACCTGTTTGTTTTTTGAGTCTAACTGACTCTTATCTTCTCTTAGTCATTTTATAGTTCCCTTATGCTACCAAGTCTGAATAATCTCAAAATTTGTGTCCATTATCTGTTATTCTTTTGTTTCTGTGTAATTTTGCATAATAAATGAAATGCAGAAACACTTAAATAGCACAAATAGTATACTTATGGTGCCATTTATAGTTGACTTTAAAGGAATTATCTGAATTTTTGATATGCGGTCCTTTAGGTTATTCCATTTTTTGAGGCTGACATTGAAATGAGTTGCTCATTCTCCCTTGATAACCAGAAACAACAAAACATGACCCAGAAACAGGACTCAGAAAACTCCCCAATTAAGAGCTCAATTAAATAGATGATCCATTTGCTCAAGATAGAATTCTCAAATAATTTAAATTTAAGGTGGGTGTCTTGAAGATTAACACGAAAGGGTTGGGGATTTCTTTTTATCTATTTATCCACCCAAAAGTCTATGCTTTATGCTGGGAATTTAGAAGATGAAGGAACACAAGAAAACTCTTGCCTCCCAGTTGCTCAGTAAATCACCAAGAGAAAACATTTAAAGTCCTGAGCCCAAAGTAAGAAGTTAATTATTTGTGAGTTAAATAAGAATAAAAAGGAAGAGAGTGGTGGTCAGGTAACAGATGGGCACCAGAGGCTTCCTGAAAAAAGTGAGTTTTGATGTATTTTGAAAGATACTTAGACTTCATCACTGAAGCATGTACACAATGACCTTGTAGAAGGATCTGGACCTTTCTGGTAAGTAGACCCAAGTGTCTGATGCATCCAGTTTGAGTTTCCTTTCCTCCCTTCACCTTCTTTCTCCCCTTTCACAAACACTGGTTGATATGAGTCTTGTATTGTTGCAGATCCTAAGTGCACAGAGATGACATCTCAATTTTGTGAGCAAAATGCATCCTTTAAGAACGGCACGATTCATTCCTAATAGACATCAGAAGTACTTGTGAAGAGAGAAAGAGAGAGAGAGAGAGAGAGAGAGAGAGACAGAGAGAGAAAGAGAGAGAGAGAGAGAGAGAGAGAGAGAGAGAGAGAGAGAGAGGAGAGAGAGAGAGAGGTTTTTCCTGCTCTTGGGATTAGGATCGTTTCAAAGAGGAGTTGCTTGTGCCACTGGACTTAATGTTGTGTTATAGTTAGCAGTAGCTGACTTATTTTGGTAGGAAAATTTGCTCAAATTCCTTGGAGGAAGGATATCTTCTAAGGTTCAGATCTGATTGTTTAATCCAAATTTCTGAGTGCCTTGTTTTTGCCAAGGTTAAGATGTCTGTTAGAACTTTATATTTTGGGGGAACTTTATATTAGTGGGGAATTTATAATTCCCCATTAAGGTGTTCATTATGACTTGGTCTTCTATGCTTGGAATGATCAGTAATGACAGAGAGGACTTCTTCACCTGACATGTGAACCTTGTAGGATTTTTCCTGACCATAAAGGTTCTGGCTAAGCTCAATCAGGAATGAGAGGATGGAGAAGAGTCATCACTGGTTAAAGCATCACTTAGTGAGTCTTCAAATTAATGAAGGGTCAAAATCATTTTCTAAGGGCAGCCATACTTCCCAGCCAACCAAAATTAGGGTTTGCCTCTCTGCTATGCCTTGGAGGGAGGACTGTTCTTCCTCAATCTTTTCAGAAACACATTAGCAGGGTTGGCTTCTTGCCTATTACAAGTCTGTAGCCACAGAAAGGAAATACCAGTGGTCCCTTGTTATATGAAATAGCTGTCCTCCTGGGGTCTGGGGGAGTGCCTTTGCTGCTGATTGTATGTGTACATATGTGTCCTAGTGTGGCTGTAAAGACTAATCATGACACCACAGTCCACTCATAGAGGAATATCTTAAGTGCGATCAATGAAAGCCCAATTGACATGATAATGCAGTCCTTCAAAAATGGCAAGGCAAAACAAAACAAAACAAAGCAAAAATTGCTGCATCTTGAATGATCACAAGTGCATCAAGAGTCCTTCAGGGTTCTCTGGTGCTTTAAATAGCTTCTAGCCTTCAGGGGGTAAATGAGCCTGGAGCAGAGCTGCCTCTTCAGTTCCTGGTCTTTGGATGAAGACAGGAAAAAAGTGACCTGGATGGTAGATTACACCAGGGAGGCCTCTGCTTCCACAAAGGAAAACTACGTAGTTTTGCAACATCACATAGAAACAGCAAATGATGTGGCCATCTCACGTAACAGCTTTACTTGCTTTCTCTGTGTAGGGGAAGTGATTGTGATGCAAGGATCACAAAGCATAAGTTCTACAGGAGAATTCCTTATCAAACTGAATAGGAGAGCCAAAAGGGATGAGGGTGATGGAGCTGAGCTGGAGAGCACACACCTTGTCCTGAAGGAAGCAGGCCTCTGCTCAGAATCAGCCAGTTGTCACACAGTGGAAAATGGGCCTGCCATTGCCCATCCCATTTATTTTCTTCACACAGCCAGAACCCAGATTTTTACATCACCCATTCCTCTAGTATCAAAGTTCATTCATGTTATAAAAACGTCTATGTAGATCAAAATGGTACAAATAGAAACTCTTCATATAGCCTGCTGGTCCTTAGAAAGCAAGTAAGCTCAAACCAACAGGACATATTTAAATAACTTGTCCATGTGAGGCCTCTAGTAGTTAGTTGTCCTAAGAGTATGCAAATGTGGTCTTGCTTTCAGTTTGGGTGACAGGCTACCAGATGAAGAGCCCTGAGTCACAGCTACTGTCAGTGAGTGCTGTGGTTGATTACAAATATCTGCTGTGCATCGTTTGCCAGTATATGTCTGGATCCACTTTTATAAGGCCTTTCTTTCTACTGTTGATTTTCAAGGCCTGTTAGATATAGGGATGAGTCTATTGATCTGGTTAGCCCTGGGTTGGCATGTTGTTTTCTTTGCCAGTGAAACAAAGATTCTTTTTTTCTGCATTAAAAAAAAAAAACTTTATTCTGTACTGAACTGTATTCCCAATCAGCCTAAGCAAAGGCATGCCCTTGATACAGCATCTGCTTCAGAGCAGAGGTGACAATAAAGACAGGAAGAATCTGAAGACCCTCTCTATGGCCACCTGGGAGCTGAACAGGTCTGAGTCCAAGTGACAGTTACACAGTCCACCCTGTGACAATTAGGTCTGCTCAGCCGTTCCATCCATCCAGGGACTAAGTGCAAAAATGCACCTGCCCAAAGTCGAGTCAGACCCCTTTCACAGGGCACCCTTCCAAAGAAATAAATATCTAAATAATGAAAGGGGCAAGTCAGGAAACTTGAAAACAACAGAAACCAAAACTCTCTTCAAAATAAGACAATTTCTATGTAAAGTTCACTCAAAAAATTGCTAGTTTTTCTTGCAGTTCCTAAGGATTTGATTTTTATTTTATTGGGCACAACAGGAACTAAATTATTAATAAAATAAAGGCTTGTTTATTTTTATCTTGCTGTGGATAATTGAAACAAGGATTCTTAACTTTAGAGATGCAAAAATCTCAAAACACAGCAGGAAAGGACAACTGCTAGTTCTTTAAAGCAATTTATTTCCTTATTAATTATAAAAGCCTACATGTAGAGATTTTTAGATTTGGAAAACAAAAGGAGAAAATTAAAATCACTATACTCTAATCATACTTTAATATCTTTACTGTTTCCAACTTTTCTTATCATTTCTTGTCACCCTCCCTCCCCCAATCCCATTCTACAAAGATGGACAGACAGACAGGGTTGACTTCCCATCCATGTGCATGTGCGTGTGCGTGTGCGTGTGCGTGTGCGTGTGCGTGTGTGTGTGTGTGTGTGTGTGTGTGTGTGTGTGCCGTGTGTGTGTGTGTGCCGTGTGTGT